TCTCTCTCTCCCACTATCTCTCTCAATCTCTATCTCTCTTTTTCCAGTATCTTTCTGTTTGTCTGACTCTATGTATATCTTTCTTTTTCTTTATATTCTTTAAGTCTATTTCTCGGATTGATTTCTCTTTTCCCACACTTTCCCTGTCATAAACACATACGCTTGCTTGGTCTGTGGTTTTGTTCTTAAACACATTTTAATTGTTTTGTTTGGCACTGCTATTAAATATGATTTGATAGAAATAGGTTTTTCATATTGAGTGCTTTTTTAAAATAACGTAAACTCAGGCTAGTTACAATAATCCACAAGTTAATTAAAAACATTTTTATTGATTTTTTGTATATTAGATATGTTCTTCAACAAAATATTATTTAAATACAGTAATGCTTTACCACTGAATTTAATGTATCGTTAGTAATTTCAATTCCTTGTAATGGTTTTGTACGACACGAAGATCAATTACTTATGCTTCATTGCTCTCGGTTATTCCGTGGGCCTTTAATTAAATAACCAAAGATAAACTAGTCGTGAGATAATCATTATGATCTCCTAAATTGGCAAGTTTAATTGCCGATTTAAAGAAACTTGCGCATGGTAGAAGGATATTTGTCTAAGAAACTTGTCAAACCACGGAAATTTAAGCATTTTTATTATTGATTCTTTTCCTTGATGCCATGGTGAGTCAATATTTCATTAAAGAACAAGCCCAAAATTATAAATTTAAAAGATATTTTTCACTTTTTTTAATTTCTTGAAACCTTGGATAATTTACAAGTGAGTAAAAACCGAACGCTATAAAGCTTATTTATTGCTAGCTGTTCATTACAGTTTCGCCCAAAGTTTGTTTGAAACGTTTTCTCACAAATTGGTACTTGACTTGTTAAATGATTCGGTCCCGTTTCGTAATTTGAATTAACAAATCTGTATAATATACACTGATATAGAGATAGAAATGAATATGTATAATGAATATGTAGATTTATTTTATTTTATTTTACGGTAGTCATCATTTTAAAAACATGAACCTATATAATCTGAAAAGAAAGTGGCCACCCTTAATACTTTTTATTTCAATTAATTTTACTTATCTCGTTAGCTATCAGACAATGTACTATTGATTATCTTACAACAATATTGGGTACGTTTTAAAGGACTAGAAGAAGGATTCGAGGTAAATAAAGCAAACATAAAATGTTCCACTTGCGTTTACAATTGGATTTTCTAAATCAATCTTTAATTAGTCAATCTCTTATTTGTTGGTCTTTCTGTAAAGCTTCTTTCTAACGTAACGGTTGATGCTTTTAATTTGTACTATTTTTAGAAAAACGTTTTAAGTGATACAGATTTGGCTAGAATCATAGCATTTTTAGAAGATGAAATAACTCAAGCGTTTGTGGCCAAGGTGCTTATCACTACGAAAACAACAGTTCGAAGGGTCTTCCGTCATTACCCACAAACTGGAAGTTAATCTAAACAAGTCATGGATCAGATCGACATTGTAGCACATCTCAGAGAGATGATCGTTTTATTTTATTAAACGTCCTCCCTAATCGACATTCTTCCGCTGATGAGATCAAGCAAGGACTTCAGAAAGTTAGAAATGTTAATGTTAGTTTACGCATTGTAAGGCAAAGAGATTCAGAAGTGGATTATGTGGGAAAAGGCCTATCACTGGTCTAGAACTTCTCACAAAGCACAGAAAGCTCGGTTAAATTTCGCAAGAAATCACATCACTTGATCTGAGCAAGGTTGGACTAAAATATTTGTTTGGGTTGAATCAACGTTTAGAGAGATATGGTTTGGGGAAGAACACTTCATTTTTTCACTCCGGAGAAGCTAACGAGGTGTTGGTGTTGTGCTTTTGGGAGGCATTTCTATGGAATGTCATACATACTTGATCTTCACCGAGGGTTCGCTAACAGCTGCGTAATACATTGAAGATGGGTTATCAGAAGAAGTAGTTCCTTATATGCCACTGATTAACGACGGTTTTATTTTCATGCAAGACAATATAAAACACCCAGACAGCTAGGATCGTTGGTGATTACTTGAAATGCATTATAGTGGCCAGTATGTAGTCCCGAATCAAACCATATCGAACACCTTTGGGACGAGTTGTCAAAGTGGGTAAAAGTTGCCCAGAGGTGATAGAGAATTTGCAGGAAGTCAGAATGACGCTGTCAGAGGAGCACAAAAATATTCCACAGCACTACATTCCAAACCTCATAAAATCGATGTCACTTCGAATGCAAACTGTGATCAACGCAAGAGAAGGAAATACTCAGTACAGATTCACTATTTTTCGAGGTACGCTTGACCAATTAATACAATTCAATTAATTAAGATTTTAAGTTGAGATAAGAATGTCAGTTTCACGAGCGGGATTCGAACCCACGACCTTCTGCTTGATACGCCGCTACTCTACCCCGTGAGCTATCGTGACTTCGATCCACTCGGGAACCAACTTCCCATCTCAACCCCACCTTTGAATTTTCCCTCCTTTTTGCCATTTTTCAAATGTCGTGTAATCGATTTGATTCTCGGCGACAAATGAAATGGTCACGGAGAGCTTTAGTGAAGTATACTTCATTTTAAATCATTAAATTCACTATTTTTGGTGGTCCGCTTGGCCAATTAATACAATTCAATTAATTAAGGTTTTAAGTGGAGATAAAAAAGTCAGCGTCACGAGCGGGATTCGAACCCACGACCTTCGGCTTGATACGCCGCTACTCTACCCCGTGAGCTATCGTGACTTCGATCCACTCGGGACCAACTTCCCATCTCAACCCCACCTTCGAATTTGGCGCGAGTAGCGGCGTATCAAGCCAAAGGTCGTGGGTTCGAATCCCGCTCGTGACGCTGACTTTTTTATCTATCTTTTTTCCATAGCAACCATTTTCATAAAATTATTTAACAATGTTTAATATTTTATATTGCTATCTTATATTTTTCTTAAAAATATTCAATAAACAACCAAAAATAAAAGTTATAACGATCGCATGTGTTACTTAAAAAACGAGGATGGCCACTTTTTTGCCTGTCAGTGTATATTAGAAATTGCTGTAATAAACCGGATTTCATTTCAACTAATAAGCGAAGGGTGCAAAAAAACTAGATTATTTAGAAAAGCAAATCGCCGACATTACGCTTTATTACAAATCTTCATCTTCATAATCTTCAGATACGATTTATCACAGCCTTGAGACACCCATCCGTAGACTTCGTGCAACCAGATCATTCCAGCCGTTAAGACGCTAGTAAAATCCAACTCAAATGTTTGCTGCATGCGCCAAGGGGAGCCGTCAGAGAGAAGTGTTATTATATAACAATGAGAAGAAAGCTTATATAAGATATCACAGATGATCCAAAGCTCACTTGCTTGTTTAACATAAAGAGGATGGCGCCCAACTCATCTCTCAAGTAAGTGCACATAAAAAGAAACGGAAATTAACTAGTTCGGAAAAGTCAGTGTTTGAAAACTTGGGTATATATATATTGTTGATCATTCTTTTTTGTCTGATATTTTAAGAACAAATGTTAGTGCTGCAAAGGAATTGATGAATTTTTGAGTATGAATTTTATTAACACATTTTAAACACATAACCAATATAAAAGAATAATACAGGAATCACAGAAAATCATCAATGCGTTCTGAGTATATTAAAGTTTTCTTTCAGAAGTAAATACTTTCACATTATCCTGTAATTGATTCTTGTTGTTTAAGGTTAGGCTTAAAACAATCGACACAAATTTAATTTTCAATTTTTTTCTTTTTTAAACAGTAATAAGAAAAATTGAAATGATCGAATTTTGAAAAAAAATTCAATATCTTCAGAACTTATCGATAAATTTGTAGTTTCTGGAATCGTTTAAAATAAAATAGAAAGTATTTTAAAATTTGTAAAAACATTGGGAATTATGTTTTTAAAAAAAATCAATCAGTCGGTTTATCGCGCCAAATTCTTAAAATGATCCCTTTTGGACATTAAAATAGTCTTCTTAAAAATAAAAGTTGATGTGATTTTTAAATAATCCCACAGTAAAATGTATCAAATAGACAATACATAATACACGTCACTGAGTTAACAAAATACAATGTAGGCCCATTAAACATACATAATTTATATCAGAGAAAAAGAAATGCATTATGAAAAACACAGTGTAAAAAATAATATTACAACCATAACATATTCTCCTTTACTATTTCAGCAAGGCGCGTTTGCGCAAAACTCGCCTACTCCCGATATTTAGCGAGAATACCTGGTTGTCCAGGGATGATAAAATGGCTTAGAAATGTTTGCGATTTAAAAAAACTATTTGTGCTTATGTAGAAAAAACCTTAGCATACTAACATAGGTTTTACATTTTTTGTAAACGCTAATGGACGTTTTTCTTCTTTCAGCGGAAAAATCGAGATGAGTAAGGGTGAAGCCAAAGCAGTCCCGGACAAGGTAAAATTGACCCTCGAAATAGGAGATACGCCGGAGATACGATCATTCAGAACTTCCCTACCGCAAGTAAACTGAATTATCTACTATATTAATTATCTATTATTATTATCTATTCTCGAAAGGTTTCGGCGATTAAATTGCTAGTAATTACTTAGAACATCATAATAGAATAGCTTAGTCGTGCTATCTGAGTTTAATTATGATATTTCAGAGTTGACATGAAGAGTATTTTTTGCGTTCGTAACGTCGGAATTCTTCCGATTCAAAATTCGCCTTCTTATGATGGATTGCTCAGCAAAAGCAACACACACATTTTCACTACAATTGTGCAACAACGTTCGTAATAGTTTATTCCTGTTGTCTATCTCTCACCAATTACGCTTGTTCGAAGGAAAATTTTCCTCATTTAATTTTAGTCATATCCTCATATTTCCTACAAACTACAAACGGCATTTTAATACAATGTTATCCGTAAACTACGTTTATAAGTCGAACTTTCATTTCCAATGTGAAAAATGTTAATCGTAAATCTAATTTTCTCTTTCGTCCCAACTTAATATTTTTGTTATAAAAATACAAAAATCATGTATTTACCACAAAGATAAATTAAGCCAGAGTATTTAGAGGGACCAGTAAACCGAACTAGCCCCTAATAGTTCAAAATCCGTCGAAAACTTGCAAACTGTCACAAGAAAAAATAGCGAAATTTACCTTTTTTACTTGTTCCATTAACAATAATTCCGGTCGGCCTTTTCAAAAATTTGTATAAATTGTAATTGAAATAAATTTTTACATGTCAAAAATGTTTTATAATTTTTTATTATTATAACCTATTATGTTTTGTGACGGGAACTTCTAAATTTTTTTCCAAGTTGCCCAACCACCTACTAGGTTATATGAACCTTAGTGGTGCCAGTGTTTTTGAATAAAAGCCCAATTTGTAAGTATGTCAGGTTCAATGTATGGCCACTGGATTCCATCCCTGGGCCTTTACCTTACAGTGATGAGCCGTGTCAATCCCTAAACCGGTTCTGCCACCGGGGCTTTTTAGCTTTTTAAAACGTTAAATACACACAATCTCTCTCTCTCTCTCTCTCTCTCTCTCTCTCTCTCTCTCTCTCTCTCTCTCTCTCTCTCTAGTTTAATGATTCACGTGTATTTCCATATTTTCCTTAGTATTTTTATATGATCTCCATGTCAATTTACCGTGGTTTTAATATCATTTAATTACGAGAGAAGAAAAATATTAAAAGATGGCAAGTAATATTTTGGCTTGGTAATTATTGAAAATTAGGTAGGAGTGGACAAGAAGAGTATTTAATATAAATAAAAGTAAGTATTAAAAAATCAGGTAATATTTTATGTTTGGACCGGTTGCACGCAGTATTAACGGAATTGATTGTTTATATTAATTTACCGACCTAGCCTAACGCTTTTATTCTTTAAATCTTACACAAGTACCGTGTCAAGTATTACTCTACGGCATAGTTTTGTAATCGTTTCGTCATTGATTTTTGATAACTGGATACATAAAGTATCGGATTGTATAACACGGCCACGTAAAGCCGTCCGAGAACAATATGGATTGGAGCAGTATATACAAGCAATCTCGGTATTTGAACGGGCTTTACTATTTGTTTTTCAGGGAGATAAAATTTGTACAAACAACTGTTTAATCCGCGACTTATTGACACGACCGTAAAAGATAACCGACAGTGATTAACAATCATATGTTTGAGCCCATCACTGCTGACGCTTCAAAACTTCAATAAGTTGAATCTGTTAAAACATATATGAATACAGGGTGTTGAGGGTTAAATGTCAATACTGTCATGGTGTACATCGTAATTACTCAACTTATCCGTCAATCAAATACAAATCTGGCTTTTATTTTGCAAACTGCAGTAAATTTTTCAAAATATAACAACATTTCTGTTGTAAAATTTGCGCTTCCAAGTACACAGTAGTCGCTCAAAGAATAAGAAATGGCAAAACCCATGATTTTTGGAAATAGTCGGTTGTGGCTCGTTCTATGAATTTTCAATCAAAATTTTCGATTTCACCAAGGTTGCCTTATTTTATAAGTATTCTAAGGACATACTGACTTTTACATTTTTGAGAAATTTTCTTAGTGAAATTTCCTTGGCAAGGTTGAAAAACGTGATATCGAACCCAAGGAGAGCAACAAATCAAGAACGTCGTACATGTCTTATTTCTAATGAAAACATTTATTAGTTGGTAACAAAAATTAGATATATTCTTCTCGTGAGATGCCCAGCAAGGAGCACTGATTTGAACCCACTAGATTTTTACGTCTGGGGAAGTCTGAAAAGTGTACCTATCCAAACAGAAAACAGCTCATAGAGAAAATTGAAATCACCTGCAATGACGTGCGGGAAAGAAGGGAAGAAGTCCTCTATGCAGTCAGGTCAGTTGCTGTACATTCCCGCTTGTGTATGCAATACGAAAGAAAGCATTTCGAACAATATATCAGTTAATTTTCAAAATAAAAAAAAAACGCATCATTTAATGAAGATTAATTTTCGTTGTAATTTTTTTAATTATGTATACTATGATAAGAATGGATCTGATTTTTCTTTCCAACTCATAAAGGTTTTAATTAGAAATGACATGCAAGATGTTCTTGTATTGCTGCTCCACTTGGGTTTGACATCACGTTTTTCAATCTTGCAAAAGTGATTTCACTAAGAAAAGTCCTACAAAAGGTAAAAATGAGTATGGCATTTGAATATTTACGAAATAATATGAATAAGTTATGATCCGTTTTTTAACTATTTGGTAAAATCTATCTACAATAGTTGCAATCTGGTTTGGGATGTTACTGGGTACGTGGTCCTTCAATGACTCATACACTGTATTAAACAGTTGCCAAGCCATCCATTAACAATAAAAAAATTTAGTCCTTTAACCTTTGTAAAAGACATGTCAAACAAATTAAAAGTTTTATTGGAAAATAAAATCAATGATGTAAAAATATTTTATAAATTTGAAAACAAAATAGGTAGAACGGTTTTTACAAAGTTAAAAGATAAAGAACAGAAAGAAAAAATGTCAAATATTGTTTATAGCATCAAATGTAATGACTGTCCAACTGTATACTACGGCCAAACAAAACAGTACCTATTAGAAAGGGTTAGAACCCACAAATATGACTTTAACAACCACAGTAGAACAGGTATAGGGTTATCTAAACATGCGATTGACAAAAAGCAAAATTTTAATTTTAATATAGATGAAATAAAAATCATGGATAATGAAAGAGTATTTGGCTGTAGATTGTTAAAAGAATCCATGTTTGTTCAAAAAGATTGTAATTCCTGTAATCTAAAGACTGATTGCAATAAACTAAATACAATTTATAGCAATGTGTTAAAAAACTTAACTTCTCTCTCTACATGGTTAATATTTTATGTAAATAGTGTACATAAAAATTATTTATGTATATTATTGATTATATAAATGTACATACAAATTATATAATAATAATTTAATTGTAGAGAATTTTTGGTCTAAGTGGTTCGTTAAGTTGGCAGTCACTTAAAATATAAACCATACTGATTATAACCTGACAATTTCTGTTAAAAACGTGTAGAGAGGTGTATTTAAAAAATCGTTGACTTTGAAATGGTTATTACATTATTATTTTTATTTAGGACGTCGTACATGTAAGTTGAATGTTATTGTTATCTCTATGCTTGTAAATTAACTGAATTTTTATTTAATTTTTTTTTCTATTTTACTATGTTGTTGTAGTGCCCCGAGGAAGGCCGAATATAGAGCCGAAAGCTTGGCAACTGTATAATACAGAGTATGATTCATTGAAGGACCACATACAAAATAACATCCCAAACCAGATTGCAACTATTGTAGTCAAAGTTGGTCGATAACTGAACAACCTCGTACAATAATTGCAGTAAAGTTTGTCAAAAGTAAATTTTTGGTAAATGATTACTCTTATATATTTTATTTAAAAATGGATGGATCGAGTAGTTCGATCGATTTAGCTCACCTAAACATTTTTTAACACAGGAAGATTTTATAGTATGGCAAGCGGAGTCCATTCGAACAGGTTAAATTTTTTTAAAAAGAAGTGCTTAAAAGGATGCCTAGGTTTTCTTTCGGATACACTTGTCAATGTTACAGACGTTAAATATTGTGAGCATCCTATGATAATTAGAATTGAAAGATTAACAATAAATTAGATACTGAAGTTTTTCTCATCCCAACCGGGTGTAAATAAAAAATAAGCTTCTAAATTATTAAGGTTTTGACAAAAATGTTTTAAGAAAAAGAGATGAATCTTCCACAAATAATTGCCCCTTTGGAAACTGTGAGAAATATTACGTCTGTGTCTAACAGCAATATTCACCTAACTTTTACCATGGACTACGAGACATTTTGTGCCAGTAGGGAAATATCATTTTTAACTTATTACGCTGAGCATCCACCCTCAGTAGTAAACGTGGATGGCTCAAAAACTAAAGAAGGCATCCGATGTGCCTGGCATAATCCCCAATTAAGTATACAAGAAATGTACAAATTGCCACACGACTTTAGGATTTTTATAGCAGAACTATTTGGAATAGTTCAAAATTCAAAGTTCTAGAATTTGCTATGGAAGATATTATAGGTATGGAATCGCTAGCTTCCATATTGGATGCAATTAGTTTAATTAAGTTAGTTTTAAAATCTATTAAAAATTTTTACCTTCAATCAAAGCCAAAGTACATAGCTCGGGTGGTTGAAAAAGCATATAACTTGCAAACGGATAAGTGTATCGTTACGTATTTTTGTTGGATATGTGGTCCAAGGAATGTAGTGGATACGATGATAAACGAGCCAAACAGGATGGTCTGGAGCTTCCAAACCCAGTCTCAGATTTTAATTGCCAAATGAAAATGCCCAATATTATAAAATGGCAGACTTAATGTGACTCCGTTCCAAATGGTAAATTTTATTTCTCTATAAACCCAAACCTGAGGAAATAGCCGTGATTTACAATTACAAACATGAATAGGCAGGGATCCATGGGATATGTGGAGTATATCATCCATGTACGGGATGATCTTTGCGAAACATGTGGAATATCAGAAGATCTCGAGCACTTCATTATGACTTCCCCCAAATGTGTAAAAATTTACGATATTAAGGGCTTGGAAAAGCCAGAAATTACAAGTCTCTCTTAGGCTTTGAGAGTTTAGAGGTTTTTGAGGAGATACTCACGCATCTTCGGGCTGGTAATATACGGATTTAAGGCATCATGGTTGGGCGGGCATTACGAGAGGGATGGGTTCCTGACCATATTAATCTTCGCAGGTCTGGGAGATGTGAAATTTTCCACGTATCGATGTAGTGAATTTATGCACATCTCCGGATGAACCTCCTGAGAGAGAGAAAATACATAGAAGGTAAGCCTTCCACTTTATGGGGTTTGTTGGTTGCGGCTGGGCTCGGCCTCCTGGAGTGCCTTTATGTGTACCTGTCCTTCCTAAAAAATCGTTGAACAATGTCAGTAGAACAAGGCCATTTAAAAAAGAAGATAAATACAGAAGATAAATCTATCCAAACTTGGTTAACCGCCAATGTGTAACAATTTCAATTTTCGGTGACATCATCTTTGCCTGGCAACTTTTCTCTATTTGTAGCAATAAGACGCAGGTAAATATGATAATTATAATTTCACTTTATTCAATTTCACCAGAATAAAGAATGAAATGAGACTAAGTGGTGATATTTGTACATGAAATTATAGATGATGGGTATTAAAATACTCTAGATATCAATGGAGATGAATATTTTTTGACAATCCGAGCTATGGCTAAGGGGGACAAAGCTCATCGTCAGCAGCAATAAATTGGCTAAGTCCTCCATCCAGTTTGCATTCCTCCTAACAAATTTTAAATTTAATTATTCATTCAATAAATATTTGTTGGAATGAATGTCTCTTTGTTAGTGGGGTGCTAAAGAGAAATGGCCGATTTGGTTTGCTGACGAAGTAATCCAATAAAATAAAAATAATAGGTTATTTCATTGTCAAAAAAAGCGGAGATAAAATATAAGCGGAATTGGAAAAAAAAATAACCTTCAGTTCCTCCGTCTAGATTTCAACCGTTTCATAATAAAAAATATAAATATCAACTCCATTACAATTCATGGTCCGATTGACCAATTAACATTTTTCTGTTGATTAATATTTATGAAAGGTATTGGTCGATATAAAAAAGCTTCACGAGCGGGATTCAAACCCCCGACCTTCGGCTAAATACGCCGCTGCTCTACTACTTGAGCTATCGTGACTTCGATCCGCTCAGACACAAAATTCCCACCTCAACCTCAAAATAAATAAATAACACTAATAACCACAAATAAATATCAACGTACAATGTTAAAAACTATGGAATTAACCAGAATGAATTTATGAGCCTAGCTAAGAATGTAGATGAGATTCTGTACACCGCTAACGATTTATATGAAATTATTATATTAAGGTTTTTTCAAATCTACTTTTTTCTCGTTTCTTTAGAATAGTACGAATCTTAAATCAATATTTTAGAAAAAAAGATCGGTCATATCTTGATTGGTAATTTGTTAGAGGGTTAGATAAAATATGATCGTTTATTCTTTAGCTGTAAGTCATTTTAGATGAATTCAAGGCAAGATTTAATCATTTATTGGAATACACAAGAACTTTAGTAACAGAAACTATTCGAAAATAACATGTTCTATTAATAACATTTCAGTAAATTAAAAGTAACTCCTAAATATGGATGGTATGTACTACTAGGTACATTATTTTATAAATATTGAATAGTTATTCTACTTTGTTAAACTTAAAAGTATCATTATTTGCCGCAGAAATATTCGTTTAGTAAAATCAAAGTAAAGCTCTTCGTTTAAGTCAGAAAAGGATATAAAAAGGAATATTTTTGACGTGACTTAACGAAGGGCTACATTTCAGACCGTTACTTTGCAGCAGAAATGTTATGAGCAAACCCTTCGGAAAGTGAACGAGGGGATTTAACAATAAACCGCTTTTCTGTTCTCCCTTTAATTAGACAGAGTTTAAGTAAAATTAAAAAAAAAATCCGAACAAATAGTTTAAAATATTCCGTTTAATATTGGCTTGTGTTTCTTTTCTTTTCTTTCTTTCGGTTTTTTATACATTCGGTAATTTTATACATTAGAAGGAATACTTAAGGAAAACCGTTTATACTTAGATAGTGTAATTTGAAAATGATGTAATGAAAATAAACTAATTTTTTTATTAAGTATTTCAATATAATTTAAGTTTTTATTAAAGTTCTAGCACGTGTTAAGGGTACGCCTAGTTAGTTCTGCCTATATTTTTTTTACAGTTTTTATGTAGTTTACTAAATACGTAATTTTTCTAAATTAATTTTCAAAACTTCCTCTGATTTGTTGTTGAAATATTTTCCATTATAATTAGTGATCAGTCTTCGAAATTAAACCAAAACTGGCTATATATATATCTTCTAGCGTGAATATCTTCCCAGATCCAAAGGCTATTCCATGTTTATATTTGTATTTAGTAAATCTGCTCATATATGCTGAATATATCCATTATATCAACTTTTAAATACTTGTTTTCAATATTAAGCAACAGCAATACTATTAAACAAAATAATTTCTTCCAATTCTAACGTTTGAACTTTTTTAGGTACTGGCAACAATGGCTCAAAGTATGCTGTTGTTATCTCTCGGTATGATGGTTTTTTCATCAACTGTTATAATAGGGGCATTGAAAAACGCACCAACTGGACTATCTTTAACANGGCTCTCCCCTCCATGCTAGAGGCAGGAAAGCGAGAACGGATAGTTCAGTCTAGCCTAGGCATTGGAAGAAAAACAATAAGAAAAAAAATCCAGCAGAAAGCCAGTCAAATCAGATTTGTATCCACTTTAATTTTTATTAATATAAATTATTTCTGTTGTGTGGCCCATTTTCATTTATGGTTGTTTGTTCGGTATTTTCCATTTTGGTTATCAAGGTTGATTATTTTAATTTTGCCCCTCAGGCCCATATTATTCCCAAAGTATCTAATTATTCTTATATTGTTAGTTTGTAAGTAAAGGTTCATGTTTTGTTTTATATTTTTTATATAACATATCTTGATTCATAAGGAAATACATTTTTGTTTTAAAAGAAACAAAATATAGGTGTCCCTCTGCAATTGTGTTCATATTTTATTTCAAATCAAAATTCCTTTGATTTTGAGGCATATCACCGGCCTCAAGGGGGTTAATCAAACCTTAAAAGACGAAATATACTCATTCCTTAAAGGACCCATAATAATCTATTTATTAAATTTAAACAATGTTTGTAAATCGCAGGCCCTGAAGATGATCTCAATAAAGATCGAAACGTTGGCACGATAAAGAAAATGTTTTTCTGAAACCTACATCACACCTGACCGCATCTCACGATTTCTGAATAACTATGTAGAAATGTCTGATGTGTGGAATGTGATGATTGTTTTATGTGTTGTATTATTTGTTTTGTGCAATGTGATAATGATAGATGTGTGTTATCGATACTGAATTTTATTAATGATGTTATTGTTCGCTCATATCTCACGACCTCCAAATAATTATATTAATAACTTTTGCTCAATGTTTTTATAGAATGTGCCAAAAGAAAGTCTATATTTTCCTTCTACACTTGTATTTATTAATCCATCCATATTTCTGTAACACTCTTTAGGTACTAGCAATAATGGCTCAAAGTATGCTGTTGTTATCTCTCGGTATGATGGTTTTTTCATCAACTGTTATAATAGGGGCATTGAAAAACGCACCAACTGGACTATCTTTAACAGATTATGAAGCATCTTGGCTGGGTAAGTTTATTCATAATGTTTCATGTCCAAAATCGTTTATCAAATGTCCCTTAGTTGCCTATAAATAAAGGAATATTCTAGAGTCCATTATGTTAGGCTGACGTGGCGTTTTTATTGAATTCATTTAAATAATTATTTATTTCAGCTGGTGTTCTTTTAATTGTACAACCGACCGGGAGCATTCTTTCCGGTTTCATCCAGAACACCCTCGGCAGAAAGAAGTGCATGTTGATGGCCAACGTGCCCCAGCTGTTCGGGTGGATGCTCGTCTACCACGCCCAATCAGTCCCGATGCTATTCGTCGCTTCAGCCCTTATGGGATTCAGCATAGGTTTTATGGAGGTGCCCTCTTTCAGCTATGTGGGCGAAATATCACAGACACATCTCAGAGGAATGCTAGCCTCTTTTACGAGCGTTTACATCTCGGTCGGTCTCCTTATTATGTGCCTGTTAAAATCCTTCACGGATTGGAGGACAGCTGCTGCTATAAGCTCTTCATTTCCGGTCATCACATTCATCGCCATACTACAGGTAATTAAAATTAAGAAATTCAACAATTTCAAGTTAAAATTAAATTGATATTTTCTAAAAATATGGTTTATATTCGGATTTGCACATTCGTACATGGGTAATTGCCAATTGGGTAACAAATTGGTAAAATAAAAAATAAAAAAAGATTTTCTGTCCATTTTAAATCATTCGTGGATATAGTAAATGGGGATCAAGTATGTGGTTCAAAGAATTTTTTGTTTTCAAAGTATTTTTGCTTTCGGCCCTTAATATAGGAAATTATACGGTTTAAAAAAAGAGTTTTTTACTCCATCATGTTTAATTTAATTACAATATCTTTAAAACGTATTACCAACATATCAAAGAAGTTAAAACTCACCCTGCATGTAAAACAATGTTTACCTAGATAGCTTTTGATTAGAAGAATTGTAAGATATTAAAGAAAAAACCAATAGATTGAAGCATTAAACTAACTCCTTCACATAAATATTAAACATTATTATCATTAAACAAAAAATTCCGTCAATTCCAGATATTTGTTAAGGCTTCATTAAAGTTAAAATTAACAAGAGAAAGACTACGTTTTGTTTTGCAATAATAACTATTATTAGGTTCCTGAATCACCTGTGTGGCTGTTGACAAAAGGAAGGCGCGAAGAGGCAATGGCTTCGTTGGCATGGCTGAGGGGGTGGGTTAAGCAAGAGGTCGTACTGAAGGAATTCAGAGGAATGGAAGCTCATGCGGAAGCTTCGAAGCTAAACAGCCCCATCACGACCCCAATCACACCACCCGCCCTTGCTTACTCACCAGTCCCAACTAATGAGGGAGGTAAAACGCCACTAATCCTATTTCTATTCAACACCAGCTTTCTGTACTAACCAGCCTTATCCATTTTACGAGAGCTGATCACTATGTTTCAACATAAGGTTGAGTTAATTTCATGTTTATATCCGGGAGTAGCCAGAAAGTATTAAGAACCATTGGGAAGTTTAATTTTTTAAGCATTCACCCATAATTCGTGAAAGATGAATTATATTAATAACGTGTGGTCTTTAGCGACCGTTACTTGATGATTATTTGGTGGTCGTGAGATGCGGTCTTGGTGTGACATAGGTTTAGAACATTTTCTTTATCGTGCCAACGTTTCGACCTTTATTAAGGTCATCTTGAGGACCTGGAATTTATAAACATTGTTTAAATTCTACAAATACATGTAGGATGTGAAAAAAATGAATTTATACAATGCTAGAAAATTTTAGATTAAAAAAATGAATTTATGCAATGCTAGAAAATTTTAGACTAAAAAAATGAATTTGTACAATGCTAGAAAATTTTAGATTAAAAAATGAATTTTTACAATGTTAGAAAATTTTAGATTAAAAAATGAATTTATACAATGCTAGAAAATTTTAGATTAAAAAAATGAATTATACAATGCTAGAAAATTTTAGATTAAAAAAAAAGAATTTGTACAATGCTAGAAAATTTTAGACTAAAAAAATGAATTTATGCAATGCTAAAAAATTTTAGTTTAAAAAAATGAATTTAAGCAATGCTGGAAAATTTTAGATTAAAAAATGTATTTGTACAATGATAGAAAATGTTAGATTAAATAAATGAATTTATACAATGCTAGAAATTGTAAGATTAAAAAAATTAATTTATACAATGCTAGAAAATTTTAGATTAAAAAAATGTATTTCTACAATGATAGAAAATGTTAGATTAAATAAATGAATTTATACAATGCTAGAAATTGTAAAATTAATTTATACAATGCTAGAAAATTTTAGATTAAAAAAATTAATATATAATGCTAGATTTTTTTTTATTCAGTCAAAGTATTTGTACTCATTCAAAGTGTTTTCCGTGTAGATGTGTCATACTTCTCTGTTATGTTGAGAGTAGATATTGATGTTTTATGTTTATATACGTTGGATTTTGAATGGAAGGATGTCGGGAATAGAAAAACATTTTTTTTTTATGAGGAGTCGGCTTCTGGGTGGTGAGAGGAGCCGACAATGGGAAAAAATGGGTAAGGGTTCAGCCTGATTATCCTTTCATGATTATATAGACGGGGATAATTCCGGAAAGGAAAGCCAAATTGTTGAAGAATTAGACTATGTAGAAATGTGTGGTGATGGCCGAACCATTACTAACGTTTTTCACTTCAAAAAAGCCGATGCCTTATACAAAAATGTCTTTTCTATACCGACTTCCTTCCCACCCCATAAAAATCCAACATATATAAACACAAAACAGCAATATCTCACTGGCACTCTCAACAAGACACGCAAGAATTACACAGAAGAGTGGGGAGAAATACGTTGATTGAATATAAAAAAATATATTTTGCATTGTATAAATTCACTTTTTTCCACATCCTACATATATTTGTTAAATATAAACAATGTTTGTAAATTCCAGGCCCTGAAGAATGATCTGAATAAAGATCGAAACCTTGGCACGATAAAGAAAATGTTTTTCTGAAACCTACATCACACCTGACCGCATCTCACGATTTCTGAATAACTATGTAGAAATGTCTGATGTGTGGAATGTGATGATTGTTTTATGTGTTGTATTATTTGTTTTGTGCAATGTGATAATGATAGATGTGTGTTATCGATACTGAATTTTATTAATGATGTTATTGTTCGCTCATATCTCACGACCTCCAAATAATTATATTAATAACTTTTGCTCAATGTTTTTATAGAATGTGCCAAAAGAAAGTCTATATTTTCCTTCTACACTTGTATTTATTAATCCATCCATATTTCTGTAACACTCTATTGTTCAATCTCTGAAAAGATCTTACTAGAACATGGATTTCTACACTGACGTAAAACCGTAGTTTACTTAGTAAAATTTAATACATTTCAATTATTATTCGTTTAACTTGTTGCTTATGTTTAGTAATATATATAAGTAATATAATGCCATCAGCAAAGTATCCGCGTTTCAAAATTACTTTCCTGTACATTATTAAACGATTAAGGTTCATTTACAATTAAAAACGAGATGCTTTTGGGAATTAACCCACAGTGTCATTACTGAGTAATTTGGAGTATATGAGTAAGCCGCCCTTGTCCAATAAGGGACAAATGTTCCAGTTTAATTGGTAAACGAAATTATGGCGAGTTAAAAGGATGCTCTCCAGTTCATGTGGGTTTCCCGTAACCCTTTATCGGATATGTAATTACACGATATTGATTATGCTATTAGAACATTTAATTTTACTATTGCTTTCCAATTAGGCCTCACAAAATGTGCTTTATCGCAAATTAATTTAATGGAAAGTATGTTTAATATCTTGTTGGTTTGCGAGGCAAATATTTCCTACCACCATTGATCATTATTTAAACCTGCGTGTTTTCTAACAATTCCTGAATATGCCCGTAGTATTAATGCTATTTGTCATAATATAAAATCCCAATTATTCCAGTAATTTAACATTGTTTTGTGCTCTTGTCGTGCCAGCAATAAATAATATCAAGGCATAAGTAAAAGCTGTATCCAAATAACTACGTGTTGTTAATTACCTTCATCATGGGTTAATCACAGGTTATACTTCATAATAATAAATTATATTATGTAATTAATATTAATAATGTAATTCTATTATTATATTCAATAAACTCACTAATTTCGTGGTCCATTGACTTTTTTATCTCAACTAAAAACCTTAATTAATTGTAATATATTAATTGGTCAAGCGGACTACGAAATTAGTGAATTTAATCGTAAAATAGTTATTCCTGTTGTCTATCTCTTCCCATTTCCGGTTTGCTACAAATAAATTGTACACATTTAATTTTACGCTTATCTTTCAATTTCCTTTAAGAACTAATAAACTGGCATTGTTAGTTTAATGTAATTTTATCAATAAACTACGTTTATAAGTCAAACTTTCCGTTTGAAATGTCAAACTTGTTAATCTTAAATCTAATTCTCCAGTTTCCATCCCTTTTTAAAATAAAACATTATAAACTTTAAGCGACTATATAATAACGATAAAATGTTGGAAGAATGAACCTAGCGAGAACAGACGTACCAAGAGATGACCAAACTGCGATCAGCGAAACTCGCAAAAAAAACCAACAAAACTTTACACTTAAACAGATAAAATCCAAATAACCCGGCCTTCCTGTCTCTCACAAATATGTTGTATCACCAATGTTTTATGACCCCAAGCTCATTCCTTTAGCATTTGAAATGCGGCTTTATTATTTTTTATAGATTGTTGGTAAATATTAAGTGTTGAATATGCAAAAAGAATTCAATGATATTATTCCATGTCACAAACTCAATCACGTGAAAATACACAGATAATTCGTTATTTTAGATGTAATATCCTCAATTGTTCATATTATGACCAATAAATAATCACTTTAGTGTATAACAATATTTTTCGCCTATCCCGTCTGATAAACTTTGATGCAACCATGAAAATATGAAACATCTGAACTTTTGAAAATAGTTCCTTCATTGCGTGAATAGGCGGACCGAATGACCAAACAACGATTAGTTAAGTCTCAGACCGGACAAGACGCCAAATTTATTTTGAGAACTTTTACCATTCTTTTAAACAGACATTATATATTGTTTGTTAGCACGACTTTGTAGCACACAATAAATAGAATCCTTCTTGAATCCATAAACAATGACATATTTCAATACTGACTTTTACTGCTAATAATGTTTTCTTATTGTAATTAATTAATAAATTTTGATAATATTTATGCTCTGAAAATGTTTAACTAATGGCTTTTATTTAAGGTCTTGTGATAGAAGATTACAAACCAACCTTCTCGGAGAAAATGAAGGATTTGGTCAGGCCAGAGATGCTAAAGCCGTTGGGCTTGGTTGTTTGTTATTTCGGTTTTCTGCACTGTTGTGCTTTAAACGGATGCAGACCGTACTTGGTCCACGTTTTCACAAAACTCGGAGTACCTCTTGACCCTTTCGTCGGCACGGTAAAACAATTATTAAACCATCATGAATTTAAACCGGGAGGTAAATTGCGAAATGATACAACAAAGTTTTGTTTCAGGTGTTTGCCGCATCGAGCCAAATTCTGGGAAGTTTTATTTGTATGGGAAGTGTTCGAAAACTCGGGAAACGAGGGCTTTCTCTGATTTCAATCACGGCCTGTTCACTAATTACTCTCTGTCTCGGAGTCTACGCTTTCCTGAGGGAAACAAGGCAGCTCGATCTCGGAATCTTTCCTCTCGTCCTATTTTCGCTACTCTTTTTCTGCACGAACGTCGGGGTTGGGGTCATCCCCTGGACTCTTCTAGGAGAAGTGTTTCCAGCTAGGTTTGTAAAAATGTGTTCCTCTTGGATTTCATCAATTAATTGGTTTTAAAAGTGCAACGTTTTATAGGACTATTTCCAACGTTAGATGGATAAAAGTGTTAAAATATTCCACGCGTAGCTGGGTTTTAAGCTTAAAGTTGCGAAAATATTTGATTTAGGGAGGAAAATATACTATTGTATTTGGATTAGTTTATAAACTAGAAACTGTAGCAGAGAAATGTAAAATAATCGAATTTATATAGAAGTCAAGTGTTGGTGCCCGAGAGGATCGAAGTCATGATAGCTCATGTGGTAGAGTAGCGGCGTACTTAGCCTAAGGTCGTGGGTTCGAATCCCGCTAGCGACACTGACTTTTCTATCTCAACCAAGACCTTAGAAAAATAATTAATTGATTGCAAGAAGTAACTTGGTCAATTGACTACGAAAACGTCAATGGATTAATATTTAAAAAGTAAAAAATGTATCACTTCACGAAACTGCTCTCGTGGCCACTTCATAAGTCGCTGAGAATCCGATTACACGACATTTGAAAATGGCAAAAAGAGGGAAAATTCGAACGGTTGTAGGTTGATGGAGAGTTGGAATCCGAGAGGATCGAAGTCACGATAGCTCAAGTGGGAGATAGCGGCTTATTTAGCCGAAGGTGGTGGGTTCGAATCCCGCTCGTGACCCTGACTTTTTATCTCATCCAAGATCTTATAAAGAATAATTCCTTGATTTATTATATAGAAGGTTATTTAAGTGTGTTGGACGTGTAGCAAGACACAAAATCAGTTACAATAAATAATATATAAAATTTTATAATAAAAGTAATTGTTCATATTTTTTCTCGGTTAAAGCAACTCGAGCTTTCTCATGTCGATTATGGTTGGCCTACGGTGAAATGACTTTTCGGTTCATATTTAGCTCCCTAAAGAGATCTCATGTGTCTAACTTGTGTGGTGGTTTGCAGTACCTAATCAGTCACAAGCCCTTTCCTCTATCAAAAATATTTCTTCCAATTACATTTTTTATATTTACAATCTTTTTAAGTCTTCTGTACACTTGTTCTGTTTTATCACCACATACAAATTCAAAGCTATTAGTCCCTCCTTTTTTATACCTTATACGGTACCTACAACCTCTGGAATTCATTACGTCACTACATTCGACTGGCCTCAACCCTTTCCACCTTTATGTACCGTCCGCTCGACTACTTCCTTTCCTACATTTTAACACCAAGTACGGTTAATTTTCTGCTAAATTGTCCACCTTTTTTCTAAATTAGTTGAATTTCTTTTAACATGCATACATATTTTTACATATACATTTAATTGTTTATTTATGTATTCATTTTGATTCGAATTGTACGAAAATTTTGTTATTCAAGGGGCCCAAAGTCCTTCTCTCTTTTATTCTCTTTCTCTTCTTATTTTCTTCAACATGTTAAGGACACTTAATAATACTAATAAAATAAGGAACAATTTATTTTACCATGTGCTGTCATTCATAAATGTAAGTAAAGTGTTACCGGGAATAACTTGGGAAAAAGATATTGTTAGGTGGCTAATATTGTCACAATAGAAGAGTTAGCAATTGTAAATTAATTTATCTTCTCGAATCTGCCGGGTTTGTAAAAAGAGTGGGCCATGATTTTGTTAATGTTAAGGTTAATGTGAACAATTAATTAACAAATAAAATGGCCACGGAGAGCTTTAGTGAAGAATACTTAATTTAAATTCACTAATTTCGTGGTCCGTTTGACCAATTATTACAATTAATTAAGGTTTTTAAGTTGAGATAAAAGGCAATAATGAGGGAATATTCAAAAGGTGGGTTGAGATGGGAAGTTGGTGTCCGAGTGGATCGAGGTCACGATAGCTCAAGTGGTAGAGCAGCGGCGTACCTGGCCGAAGATCGTGGGTTCGAATCCCACTCATGCCATTGTCTTTTTTATCTCAACTAAAAAACCTTAATTAATTGTAATATATTAATTGGTCAAGTGGACCACGAAATTAGTCAAGTTAATGTGAACATTGACATACTAGGCAATAAATAAATAAAAATCACGTTTTTCAATAATGGAATATTTTAACATGAAACAACAAAAAGTGTCTACAATTACGTCGAGCAAAAATGTAATGATTCTGCTCGTGATTGTAAGTCACATCAGGATACTTGTGCAAAGCGGGTTGTTGCTCAAAATTGAATCGCAAATAAATAAAATAGCTCTGAAAACCTATCCTCTTTCTTACGTGTTTTTTTATTCAAGGCACGTCCAAGTGAATGTACACGTTAGGGTTCAAACATAAAAAAATTTGTTTTTTCTTCTTTATAAAAAAATGAAATGTAAATATATTCAGAATCTCTGTTTGTCGAAGTCGGATGGATATAGCAGGAAGTGCGCAATAAACACGCTTTGCAATAAATTTCCCTAAAAGCAAAAATCATCTAAAAACCCTGTTTTAAAATTAAATAGAGTCGTTTAATACGTTTGTAAGATACAATAAAATTACATTTGCGGTGGAATGGGGCGGGTCAAGAGACAAAGCTTGTAGTGCAATTACCGTCCGGTCTATTTTCTCTTTTTTTTCTGGATAAAGATGGTTACCTGGTTATGCGGCCATTTTCTCTACTATCCTTTTATCTTTAAGCTGGCCTCCACTACCTTTTGCCCTGGTAAATTAAATATCTGCTAGAAAGATCACTAGAAATTGTTAATCTTACAGTTTATACGGTTTAACACGTAGGAACGACAGTTGTAAAAATTACTTACAAACATGTAAAAACTACTCTTATTTGATGACAAATGAATGCCTACAATACAATATGTTGATAACCAATGAAAAATTAAGTATTATTGGCCGAACTGGATAAACCCTTATCAGTAAAATCAGAACACCTAATCCGAACGAAAACAAAATATTTGCCCATTGTTGCTGAATTTTACCGAGAAAGTAAAGTGTGTGTGTGTTTTGTGTTTTCGCAGGAAGTTTATTGATAAATGCTCCAGCTTCTATTACGTGTAGTGTATGCTTCATACAATACAATGTCAATTAATAAACCTTTTTATATGTAATAGCTAATTTTAACGAAGAGTGAAATTTTTTTTTAATCAGAAGTACACATATTATATATTTTTTTTAAATATCTATTACATAATATATTTTAAAAAATAATATAAAATATATATATATAAAAGTAATAAAAAAGGTTAAAAAAATATCCGTTAGGTACATATTAATAAAAGTAACAGATCTATACGTATCATTTTAATTCATCTTTTAGTTAACGGATTAAAATATAAATTCCATTAACAGGGGTTTTCGATTATACGTGGAACACCCTCCCTGTCATTAACCCGAATATTGAAGGTTTTATTATAAAATGGATAACTTAAGTTCAAATAAAAGTGAGAAAGTAGTGAACAAAGCAAAATAGATGATAAATCATGAAAGGGGATGATGAACAGATTAAGCGAGCAAGAGAGAGAGAGAGAGAGAGAGAGAGAGAGAGAGAGAGAGAGAGAGAGAGAGAGAGAGAGAGAGAGAGAGAGAGAGNGAATGACAGAGAAAGAGAGAGAGAGAGAGAGAATGACAAAGAGAAAGAGAGGTAGGAAGAGAAAGGAAATAAGGGAAAATAAAGAAAGATTAATAAAGAGAAATTTGTATGTATTTATGAAATGAGTGTTTTAGTTCATGTATTGATAATTTCCTGTAACGCAGATTATTAGCTTTTTATTGTTTTTATTTCATTCATTTACTCTCAACCATAACGTTTTTGTTAATGTTTGGTTAGAAAATGTTCTATTTTTTTTTCGGCCAATATGATCAGTGCGAGTTTAGTTCATGGCCATTTATATCTCTAATTTTTTTATATATTTTTTTTAACGTTTTACTCAATTTTTTGCAAAATGGAGGAAACAAAATATTTTTCATGCCAGACCCTTTACAAGGTAGAAACAGAATTACGCGGACAGCATAAAGTTTTGAAGTGCCCCAAACAAAACCAGGCAAGTTAAATAGCTTTCTTAATCCTGTTATCATATTTGACGATAAGGTTGTCGAAGTTGGTCCCTCAAAACACCCTTTTATTACGGTGTCTTCAACTTGCCATATTTGATTACAATATTTCATTAACAGTAAGTTGCCAGATTTATCTTATATATAGAGAGGGAGTGAGAGGGAGTGGGAGTGGGAGTGGGAGTGAGAGAGAGAGAGAGAGAGAGAGAGAGAGAGAGAGAGAGAGAGAGAGAAAGAGAGAGAGAAAGAGAGAGAGACAGAGTGAGAGAGACAGACAGAGACTTAGAGGCAGTGAGAGAAAGAAAAAAGGATGAGAATAATAGTAGCAGTATATGCAGCTGAATACATTTTTACAGATATCTACTAAAGTTTTTGACATATATTTAAACAATTTTTTTAAATGGCACTAAGGTAAATTAAATTTCCAAATATATTTCTACGCTAATGATCTGATATTTTCTGATTTAAAATGGTTGAATTGAATATAGAAAATTCTACGTTGAAAAACTCGTTCTGGTCTAACTGTTCTTCTTTCTGGTAGAAAAGCATTACTATTATATCGTGGTGGACGGAATTTCTCATTATCTATGTCTCGACTGTCAGAAATCAAATCATGTGGATCACTCCATCAGAATTCCGTTACGTTAAAAAGTTACGTTTATGTTGTTTTTTTCTGTGTTTAATATTTTTGGGTTGTTGAAATCGAAATTGTGTTAGTGTTCAAAATGGTGGGTAGCGTTAACATAAACTACCTTTTTGGAAATGGTTTACATCAACAGAGATAAACACAGTATCAATTACAGAAGAGACACTGTAAGCTCAGCCGCAGCTACTCTATCATAAATCAAATGCGATATCAATAACATACATATAACACACAAAATATATACAACAACAGATAAAATAATCGTTACACTCTACACATCAAACAATTCTACATAGACTAAATCTTCAACAATTTATCTCTTCTTTCCCTAATATCCCGTCTATAATAATCCTGAAAGTCTAACCAGGCCCGAACGACAAATCATTACCCTTTTTTCCATTGTCGATCCGTTTCACTTCAAAGAAGTCGCCTCCTCATAGAAAAATGAATTTCGATCCCTACTTCCTTCCCCACCTCTTCAAAATCAAACATATATAAACAAAAGAACATTACTATCTCACTAACACGCTGAACCCGACACATCAACACAAAAATGACACATCTACACAGAAAACACACATTTGGAATAAGTACAAATACTCTTATTAAATCTAAAATATTACGTACATTGTTGTATAAATTCATTTTCACATCTTACCCGTACTTGAGTAATTTAAACAATGTTTATAAATCCTAGGACCTGAAGATGATCTCAATTAATAGCGAAACGTTGGCACGATAAGAAAATATTTCTCTAAACCTACATCGCACCAGACCGCATCTCACGATCTCTAAATTATTAGTGATTAACTGTCAGTAAATAATACACATCGAAAGAATATTCATTTCATGGAATAAAAATCAATATGTTGTTGTGCAGGAGTATTTTATGCACGTAAATAACGTGTATTATGTTGATTCTACAAATCGTGAATGACGCTTTTGAATTTCTTGTGAATAATTCAGTCAAGTTATAGTAATTTGTACAACTTCTAATTTACCTTCAGGTCTCGTGGGGCTTTTTTAAATCAACAACTTTGAAAGGTTGCTATCAAGATCATCAAAATCAAGATATCTTGAACGACACCATTTTACATTAATGTAAAGGCTCATGTCCCTTTTCTGGAATTTATGTAACGACATGAGGGACATACATTAGCAAATCTAGTCCACTTTTTAAGGTTTTAAATTTATCTTGTTTTCTTTAAAATGTTTAAATGTTTTACTAAATATCAACAATCAATTAATACCTCTACTTGACTTACGTATTTTCAGGTACGTATTGCCTTATTTTTTCAGCAATTTATCACGAATAAAAAATCATTTTCTTGCAAAGTCTTGTAGTTGTGAAAATATTCTGTTTTAATTTTGTTATACAAACAATTTGCATCAACATAAAAAGAATTAAATTTTTTTTAAGTTGTCATACATTTCACGGATAAGCTTTGTAATTCTAAATTTTCCACTAGGGTGTAATATCTGCAAGAGTAATCAAGCCAAATACTCCCTAATTTCATTATTGATTTCCTTTTAAGTAAATGTTTGTGCGAAAATGCTATTAGAAAATTGAAAGAACGATTTCATGAATGGTATCTTACTTTATTTCAAACAGAACGAAAAATGAGTGAATTATTCCAACACGCCCAATTGTATACCAAAAAAATAGAAAATGTTGGTGTTTATACACGGCTTTAGTTTGAATTTTTTGATGTTAATTTTTTAGGGGGCGAGGATTTGGCGGAGGAATAGCTGCTGCATCATACTACGTGTGGTACTTCATAGTTTCCAAGACATTTCTTGAATTGGACTTTTATCTCGGCCTGTACGGGGTCTTCTTCTTATACAGCGCACTTGGTTTCTGCGGACTGCTTTTCCTCTCCATCTACCTTCCAGAAACCGAGGGCAAGAAGCTGGAAGATATCGAAAAGTTTTTTATCCCGAAGTCGAGACGCACAGAGTCACAAAAGTAGACCTTCTCACTAAGCTCAAGACTGTTTCACGCAAAATTACTTCAACGACTACAAATATTCAATTGTACATTAAACCAACAGATTGGTGGTAAAAGTGAAAATGCACATTGTTATGCTTTGGTAAGCATGAAATAAAAGTTTGTTTTTTTATGACACACTCACTCTATTATTGTTTAGGGAAACGTCTTTTATATTTTTATTTATTGTCATAAAAACCCTTTTACAAAAATTATCGTTCTTTTCAAATTTAGTTTTAACTAACCAAATTGATTTTAGATGTTCGTTTCGAATTTCCTTTGGCAATTGTATTTTAAAAGACAGAGTGTTTATCTGTCAAATAAATCGAATAGCTATAAATTTGCATTTTGGTCCAGCAAGTTATTTTTCGAATAAGAGCTCCTAAAATAGGTATTAACTAAAAGATTTTATTAGTTTTAAAAAATTTATAGGAAACTATTTAAATTGTTATTCAATATTATATACATGACTAATACAAAGTTGTAATTTTTAAAACACATATAAAACAAGAAACCTTGTATGAAATTTCCATAATAATATAAAGTAAATAGAAATTGAATTGTTAGACAAAAAGTAGGAATGCACCTTTGATTACATTACTTAAAAAAATTAAAGTTTTCAATTTCCTACTCATGGCAAATCAAATTTTCATCCCGAACTCTCATCATCAAAAAAGTTTAGTTTTCCTAAGAGCAAAAGGATTAAATTAAAAGATCTAAAGGATGAATGTAAGCTTTGATAAATAAATCATCGCCATTATGTAGTTAATACAATCACAAAAATAAATATTTTTTATATATCATGCTTGTTGTAAAATATAAGTTTTTTATATTTAAAATTTTGCTTACAAAACATGAGACTAAAATGATATTGACCGCTATCATGAACACAAACAAAATCAATACATTTTATTTTATTTTTATAGCTAAATTTTGATACGTGATCAGTGATATTACGTGTTTGCATAATTGGCATAAAACCTCATTAAATATATTCTTTCTCTTTTTTTTATAAAACCAGCTCATTTTCTGTCTCATACAATGAAAACTTTCTAAGATAAAAGGACTCGGATATTCATCATATCCTTTCAATTGTTTTGACAACCCAAGTTTTTCAGACTAAAATGGTAAATGTGTGGAGATTAGTGACCGTTAATCGATAATTATTCAGATATCGTGAGATGCGGTCTGGTGTGATGTAGGTTTCAGAAAAACATTTTCTTTATCGTGCCAACGTTTCGATCTTTTATTGAGATCATCTTCAGGGCCAAGATGATCTCAATAAAAGATCAAAACGTTGGCAAGATAAAGAAAATGTTTTTCTGAAACCTACATCACACCAGACCGCATCTCACGATATCTGAATAATTAAAATGGTAAACTTTTCTGGAATGTAACTGAATACAATTGTACGTTCTTCTACTGCAGGAATAAAATCAGAATGATAAATACATTTAATTATATAGTGTACCTTTCACAAACTCATATTTGTTTCTGAACGCATCCTCCAGTTTTAGAGTATCATGAGTGTCTAACTTATTCTGATGAGTATAATTTATATTATATTAGTTCTGACTAGTTGCAATCTCGCCTTAAATTGTCCATGCAATTGCTCGCTCCTCTTTATTACATTGTGTTCTGTGTGTAGGAGTAATTGTAAGATACATTGGTTGTTTTGAACAGACGGAATAAACTTTTTGAATTTTTCTCTGTTGATAAATTCCACACAGAACTATACGAATTCTATTGATACTGGCGTCACATTCCTTCGGCTGTCTTTACGCACGCTCAAGATATTTATTTTATTTACTAGCTATGATCTCGCATTTGTTTCAATGGACTTGTACTTGATTACCCACAACAAACAAGGCCCAGTACAATTATTGAGTTAGTAAGGTAATAAGACTGTTTTCAGAAATAGGGTGCTTTAACTTGCGGTATCGACAAGATGTAAATGAACAGACCCATAGTGTAGTTTATCTCATACTCGTTAAATGAAAACGACGGCATAAAATGAAGAGAATCTAGTTATTGTAGGCACAACTGATTAAGAATCCTTAATTGCACTGGTCTCTACCTATTTTACAGGGTTACTTTCGAGATAATTAAAGTCTTTCTCCAAGCACGTACTTGTAGTAAATATTGCTAAAGTTTGTTATTTTCAATCAGATGTACCAGATCATCAGATTGATCCCACTTCATTTTGATTCCTATGCGTTTAGCCGAAAAAGAGAAAATCAATTATTTTAATTAATCGCCAAAATTATGAACTTTTCCGATTTACTTAGATTTGGTTGAAGAGAGCAACTCCAGCAAGTCTCGTGATCCTATTGCATGGATATTCACATAAATATTTGTATAGTGTGCACTCTATGTCACAAACTATGCGAATTAGGGCGGCTACGCACTTGCAATTTTCAGAAGCATAATACACACATAATAGTGCGTGCAGTACGACTAGAATACGAAAATTGATCTCATCCAGACAGGTTGTATAGACGCTTTGTCCTTGAGTTGTCAGAAAAACAAAAGAAAACTTAGAACAAAATCTATTATTTTTCGTGGTTCGATTGACCAAATAAATTCTTTTCAATCAATTAATCTTTCATTAAGGTTTCTGGTTGAGATAAAAAAAGTCAATGTGACGATCGGGATTCGAACCCACGACCTTCGGCTAAATACGCCGCTGCTCTACCACTTGAGCTATCTCAACTTCGATCCAGTCGGACACTAACTTACCATCTCAACCCCACCTTTTGAATTTTTCCTCCTTTTTGCCATTTTTCAATTTTTTTTATTTCAATTAAAATCCGTAATGATATATTGATTAATTGAAAAGAATTTATTTGGTCAATCGGACCACGAAACCTAATAGATGTAATAAGCAAAATGAAGTATACTTCACTAAAGCTCTCCGTGGCCATTTCATTTGTCGCCGAGAATCAAATAGATTACACGACATTTGAAAACTTGCAAAAAGGAGGGAAAATTCAAAAGGTGGGGTTGAGATGGGAAGTTAGTGCCCGAGTGGATCGAAGTCACGAAATCTAAGTAGTAGAGCAGCGGCGTATTTAGCTGAAGGTCGTGGGTTCGAATCCCGCTCGTGACACTTACTTTTTTATCCCAACCAAAAACCTTAATGAAAGATTTGCTAATTAATTAGAATAAAATATTGGGTGTATCCTCTCATTAGTCCGATAACAACCAAAGGGCAATTTTATAAAATTCATCGACATTACTACTAATTCTATGGAACAAACTGAGTATTTAAATGTACTAGAAGCTTTCGTTTTCTGCAACAACTTTTACAGGAAATGTTCAATAGATTAAATTTACAAAAAAATCAGAATTAAACAAAATGAATTAGAAAAGTATATACCTTAAATTTCTCAATATAGCATAAAAATTAAAATTAATATAGCCTTCTGCCAGTGCATTCCATTTAGGATACATCTCCTTATCTCAATGTATTTGCGATGATCGTCTCCTTTTTTCCAAAGTGCAAATTCCTATCTTCAGAATGATCATCACAATTTAGTTATAGCATTATTTCAAGAATAAGGAGAACTATAAATTTTACATTAGAAACGTTTTGTTATGCCATTTATAAAAAACATTTATTACATTGCATTTAATTTTATTCCCTTTAGTAAATTTGAATGTGTTCGATTAAAAAAAAGGGAAAATTTTCAGCTCCAAGGAAACAGCTGTATCTTCCCTGTATAAAAAACTCTAAATTGTTTACCTTCTTTCTTGATTTTAAGGATTTGGACTTAAGGATTTAAAAATAATGTTTAAAGAAACTTCAAATTTTCTTGTTTTGCTGGCTGGCAATTTTCATCTTCTGATCATTAAACCATTTCTGAAGATGATTTTCAGGCTAAAGTCAATAAACATAGCGTGCCGTCCATTGAAACAAACATGTGATTTTGTAGTACTTTCCGTAACTATTTTAAAGAAACATGTTCCGATCAAAGTTCAATTGCCGGCAAACTTTAGTCTTATTGCTTAATATATTGAACTTGATATCTACCCGGTCAGGGATTCAATAAATTCTGCGGACCTCGTGACAATCTGCGCTTAATATATAACCAATTTGCCCTTTAGTGGGAAAGGCATTATATTGAATTATTATACGGTTCATTGACTAGTAAATACAAAGGAGAGATTAATTATATTGACCTTCAACGTAAATAGCTTTAAAGTTCTATCATAATCCTAATCGTTTGAAGCACACAATTTGCAGTAAGTGCTATCGCCGAAATTAGCTATCTGATTGAGGATCTGTTAAAAAACTACCAAATATGTAGAATTTATGTTTAAAAGAAAAGGTCAAGATTAAAGTTCAAAGTACATAGGTTATTGATTCTTTAATAACTAAGAAAGAGAAAAAGAACATTAAATAAATATTCTTGGGAAAATCCGAGAAACTGACAACTTCAGAAATATTATTCTTTGTTTTATTGATAATATATAAATAATTATCTGTGAGCAGCTTATTTGCTTCGTCATAAAAAGAATACTTGGAATTCAATATAGATAAATACGTCAGGAAGATTTATTTACATTTTCACAAAAGGAAAAAGCAAATGTTGCTCAGTATTCCTCCGATTCAATCACGATTTATTGTTAAAAATTCTTAATTTTCATATTTGCTTATTTTTCTCGGTTTTTATGGTCTATTTATATATATGATCTATCTTCTATTTTTTGTTTTAGTGTAGAACATTGTACTTTCAATTATAATATATATTTAAAAATTATGTAAAGGCATTTAAAAATTTAAATCTTATGTTAGGGAAAATCTTGGGTACAATTTATACAAAAAAATGTTCCTAGGTCCGGAAAAAATAAAATGAAATATCCCGTAAATAATATTTTTTGTAAAACTAACAAACAATTCACTATTTTTCGTGGTCCGCATGACCAATTAATATTTTTCAATTAAATAAAGTTTTTAGTTGAAATAAAAGTCAGTGTCACGAGCGGGATTCCAACCCACGATCTTCGGCAGATATGCCGCTGCTCTACCACTTGAGCTACCGTGACTTCGATCCACTCGGACACTAACTTCCCATCCCAACCCCACCTTTTGAATTTTCTCTCCTTTTTGCCATTTTCCAAATGTCGTGTAATCTATTTGATTCGTATCAAGCCAAAGATCGTGGGTTCGAATCCCGCTCGTGCCATTGACTTTTTTATCTCAACTAAAAACCTTAATTATTTGTATTATATTAATTGGTAAAGCGGACCACGAAACTAGTGAATTTAATAAGTTTAAAATGAAGTATCCTTCAATAAAGCTCTCCGTGGCCATTTCATTTGTCGCCGAGAATCAAATTGATTACACGACATTTGAAAAATGGCAAAAAGGAGGGAAAATTCAAAAAGGTGTGGTTGAGATGGGAAGTTGGTGTCCGAGAGGATCAAAGTCACGATAGCTCAAGTGGTAGAGCAGCGACGTATTTAGACGAAGGTCGTGGGTTCGAATCCCGCTCGTGATGCTGACATTTTTATCTCAACTAAAAACCTTAATTAATTGAGAGTTATTAATTGGTCAAGCTGACCACGAAAACTGGTGAATTTGATCTGTTTATTTATCTCATCTCTTTATTTTCTTTCAATTATTATACTAATTTTTAAATCAGTAATTAATATTAACGTGCACTTTTGCTTAGACAAAAAGTTTGTTGTTTGATAGAACACGTATCACGTCGGTGGACACTGATTTTTTTATCTTAACTAAAAAGCTTAATTAATTGAAAGCTAACAAAGAATTGCAGTCCTGTTTGTCATTAATATTATTTCGACAATTCGTTGACTAAGAAAATTAAATAAATTATAGGAGATACCAGTAAAAGAAGGATAAGACGCAGAAGGCCCATCAACATCACATTTTGTATAAATATAAACACACATACACACGATGGTTTTCAGCGTAAAATATACTTTAAAATACTGTGTCAGGGTGTATAGGATTATATTTAAAAATTTTCAGTTGAACTTAGCTTGAGGTACCCTGTGTAATTTTTCTACAAAAAAAGATAAAAATTTGAAACTAAAATAAAAAATATTAAACATGTATTATTATAGCGTCTTGGTTCAAGAGAAATTCAGCCGGCCCATCTAAAAAGGACACCCTATATATATATATATATATATATATATATATATATATAAAATTTCNCTTAATAAATTTACTCTACTTTAAACAAAATTGGAACGAAAAATTGGTAACCTGGGTAGGGACGAGACAAACGACAAACTCGTCAACAGTTCTCTACAAATTTTATTAATTAATTATTTACAAATATACACGCTTTTTATTTTACAAAAGAACTTCTAAAATCACAGAAAATTCAAGAAGACATTCAACATTTCTTCATACAGACGCTGGGTGCTAAGGAAAAACGACATAACCCCTCCGGTCTAGCGGCATTTTCCATAATCCTTGCTATAAAAAATAAAATACATTCAAATAAAACAATCTAATAATAAAGTAAATACTTTTAACCTACCCAAGGAACTGATTTCATAACCAACAACTTAAAATGATATGTCGTTATCACGACACGAAAAAGATCAGCATCATTAAACCGAAAAGATAGGATTCATTTTTGGCTAAAATGGGAGAAAACAAATAAAGTTTCATTAGTTATTATTGTATTACCAGGCATAAAGAAATGAACATTATTTATTTTTATTAAAAAATACAACGTTAATAACCATTTACAAAATGATGATACGTTAAAAACATAATTTAGGGTAAATGTAAATAGGTAAGGGGGCTGAGTAGTATATAATTTTTAATTATCAGCATTTTGTCACATCGATTGCTTTGAATTAATTTTCAGTAGGCAAAATGCAAAACATGCTATGTTTACCCATCATCATTTGAGTTTAGTGAGGTAATGTCATCATTTTTAAATATTACGTGGATATGCAAAATCCGACTTATACATATAATCATTGATCAATTGAGAAAAAAGTGTTTTAGGTCAAAAATAAAAATTTCTGAATGTACATGTAAAATTTTTTTTTCGATTTCGAATATTTGTAGCGACTTACCCAATGTAGATCTACTGGCCGGTAGAACAGTTGTAGGCGGTAGTGTCGGCTGTTCTACAAATTGATAAGTCGCATTGAAACCAGTTCCGTCTAGTCGATCGTTGGAGCGGAAAGTTACCCGGAAAAACTTGCGTTCGGACTCGACAACCAGGCCGGATGCCATCTGCCCGCACTGCCTGGTGTATTTGCGATCAAGGCCCATAAAATTGGAAAACTCGACGTAGTCACTGGCAGAGGCTAAATCACACCTGAAACATAAGAAAAAGGCATAATTTACAATTAAAAACACATGGATGATAAACATACAAAGACAAAAACACTGGACATTAGTATTTTGTTGTTTATTTCAAACTATATGTATCTATTTTTATCGTCATATTAATTATAACGTACTTATATTAATGTAAACCAAATTTTTTACTCCATTTATTTGTATCTACAACTGTACATGTATACGGGCGTTATAGATAAAGCCACCCTTTGGCATCCGATCTGGATTAATAAAATAATATTAATCGTTTAAGAGGTCTCATCCATATTCTTTTCAGTCGTTTACGGGGTAATTGTGGGGAATGAAGTAATCTCATTTGTGTTAGTGTGATTTTGTAATTTACTATGAAAACAACTATAGATTTGGTTTGGTGAATGAAAAAACTATTGGCATGTGAAGATCTCTGTGTACGTTGTGTGTTTACGTAAAAAGGAGCAGAAACCATTAGTCTTAAAATTTTGGGTTGAAAACGTTGTAATCTTTGAATATTGGAATATTTGTCCGATTCATAAACTTGTCATCCGTACATCCAAATAGGTTCGATTTGGTATGGCGAAGGTTTTGATTTTAATGGTAATTTTGATTATCAGTTGAGTAGGAAATAAAGATTTTAAATCGTTTGTTGAGTTTTAATTTCTTACACTCTTTTTAATAGTGTATAAATTGCATGTTAGTCTTCTATGAAAAGGATGTTCTAAACAGTTAACTTTGTCTTGTAAACTTAAACCAAATTAAATGAAATCGGAAAATCATAATTTTTAATAAAACACATTTGATTATAATGGCTTCGCCAAAACACCGGAAACATAATATTTAGTGATAGATTCATACAACTAGCAATTTTTTCTAGTACTAAACGATTTTCCGGAGTTTTAATAAAATTTCTTTGAAACATCATTAATAATTATTTTTATTAAAATTCAAGAATTTCTGATTTCGTTTAATTTGGTTGATATTAAAAATACGTTGCAATTAATACATCGATAAAGAATGTCACAGAGAGGATCGACCAGTTTTTGTCAATGTTGAAGGATCAAGATTCTGGTCCTGAATGTAGTTACAAATGTATGCCAAAAATTCAACGAGCTTTCACGACATATAGTCGCATCATCAGGCGGATTTTTGTCCAAAGCATTGCTCGATGTCAAACCCATTAAGCTGATCCTCTTCACCATTGAAAAAAACAAACAAAAAAAACTGGTCAATCCTCTTCGTAACATTCATCATCTGGTATCACATGATGGCCTTTTATCAAGACATCGAGCAACGCTTTGGTCAAGAATACGTCAGGATGATGCGACTATATGTCGTGAAAGCTCGGCGAATTGTTGGCATACATTTGTAACTTCATTTCAGACCATAAACCTGATCCTCTGCAACATTATAACGATAAAAAAATTTCTCATCCTACATGTATTTGTAAAATTTAAACAATGTTTATAAATGCCAGGCCCTAAAGATGATCTCAATGAAGATCAAAACGTTGGTACGATAAAGAAAATTTTTTTCTATACCTACGTCACACTAGACTGCATCTCACGATTTCTGAGTAATTATAACGATAAATTTGCTTATAGTTTGAAATAAACAACAGAATTCGAATGCCCGGTTTTTTAATTTTTTAAATTATTTTTTTAATATGTTTGGCACAGTAGCCTACATCCCAACTCACTTCAATGATTCACCTCTAATACATTTACGACCTCATAGGTCTAAAAGCACTTGTAGTTGCCGTTAAGATCGAAACAAACACGCTCAACCAATCTTCATACTTTCTCTATCTCTCTCTTCCTGTTCACAGCTCTCTTACCACTTACTTGAGAACAAATGTGAGGTTTCCGTGCGTACATTTTAGAAGCTGAGTAACCTGTCACCAACCACTGTATAAGTAAAATATCTCTTGTATCTAACATTTTACTCGCTCTGTCTCTCGCACATACACACATGCAATCCCTCCCTATCTCATTCTTTCTCGCATGTTGTTTCTCTTTCAGTTAATAAAGTTATCTAATTATTTACGTATCTGTCCACTAATGTATATACATTTTTCAGCCAAAATGCACGTTATGTTGCATCCCGTTATTGTTTATGTTATTTTCTATTTTTTTTTCTGTTATTTTCAATTGAAAAATTACCTATATTTTAATAATACATCGATTTTCCATCAGGCCTTTAGGCATACGCAAAAATATTATAGCTATATTAATGAAGTACTAACATAAAGATTCACACAAATTTTTAAACCGTTAATTATAGAAAAATTAAGTAATCTTTTCGTACTCTCTATCCACTTTCTATCTATCTATCTTCTATTATCTATCTATACGGGATTAACAGGGTTGGTTAAATGTCAATACTGTCAAGGTAGATTTACTAAAAAAACGTAGTTCAGTGGTTAGTTCATCACGAGGTTTCTATCTTGACACTTTCCTGAGATATTAACAATTTTGTATTTTAGTCTAAAATTATTTTTAGAATTTTTTTATATATAATCGTAATTTCTCAACTTTAGCGTCATTAAAGAATGTATCTAATTTTTATTAACAACTAATAAATGTTTTTATTAAAAATATACAATGTACGTGGTTGTTGCTTTCCTTGGGTTCGATATCACACGTTTTTCAACCTTGTAATGGAAATTTCACTAATAAAAGTTCTAAAATATTTCAATTAATTAATCTTAATTTAAGATGAATTGAAAAAAAAACTAGTCACAAAGGTTGGAAGTTTATAGTTCTTCTTTACGCGTTGAATCGGGAATACCACAAAGTACAGTCTTAGGCCCAATTTTGTTTCTTTCATATATTAATGATTTTTTGAAAAATAAATTCTCTTGGAAACTATTTAGTTATGCAGATGGTACTTCTATCATTTTCTCAGGTGAAAATTTAATTAATTTAACTAAAACTGTAAATAACAGTATGAAAATGATTAATTTTTAGTTAAACTCAAACTTTCTATTTTTAAATACAAAAAAATGTAATGTATTACACTTTTTATGGAAAGAGAAAATAAATACTAACAATTTCAAATTTGCTTTTCATACTTGCGACGAAAATGATGTGTGTTCTTGCTTGTCTATCCCTTTTGCTTACAATGTTAGATTTCTTGCTGTGACATTGGACTCGAATTTTTCATTTACATATTGATTCTTTCGTTTCCAGTCTGAGGAAGCTCTTTTATAAATTTAGAATTGTACGCAACTTTGTAAAAATTGAACTTTTAAGGGCAATATATTTTTCTCTTGCACAATCCATAAGAGCCTATGGTATTGTTTCCTCGGGTAATACAATTAATAAATGTTACTCTAAGACTATGAATGTAATTATAAAATCACTTCTTAAAATCATTTTACATAAACCTTATAGATCTAATACGAAAAAATTATACAGTGAATTTAAACTGATGAATATATACCAAATCATTCTTAAATATTCATGTTTGTATATATGTAAAAATTATCTTTTGTCTACTTACAACAGTGAATATAATTAATTGGCTAACTCATATTTTTACAACGTAAAACTACGCAATATTATAAATTTTCGTTAAATATGGCACTTCGTTTTTTTACGAAGAGAGGATTTTATTCAAAATTTCAAAAATTTGGTTGGTTTTTTCATGCTACAAGTTTATTCAGTATTATGTTTGTTTATTTGTGTTTTGTTTTTTTCATTTTGTAAAGATATAATCTGTTTATTTCTCTGATGATCTCCAAAACCTCCTGGTGTCTAGCTTTTTTTGCTTTTTGACAGCAGACAAGGAAGTACCAAAATATTATTTTTTGTTATAAATTTATATGTAATGTACATTCTTGCAAATAAAGATTTATTATTATTATTTATTGTTTTTAAAATAAATTTTAATTATGATATATTATGTTTCATATAATTATTGAAGTCGGTCAAGTTTCGATTAGTTATTAATTCTATGATATGAACTATATTTTAATGTGGTTTTCTTATGTTAAATCCATTAAGAACAATAAAAAATTGTAAATCCTGATCGAGAAAAAACGAATGAACGTCATTCACATAAAAACAAATCTACCAAATATGTAAGTGCGTCATTATATTATTATTTGAGCTTTATAAAAAAAATATATTTAACTTAATTAAAACGTCTCGTGTGTTTTTATTATTTTGTTTTATGTTCTAAACAGCACCGCTACATGGACGGCTACAATTGCAAACAGAAATTTAAACAAATGCCGAGAATAATCTAGTTAAATTGTTTGAAAGCTTCGCAAAGGCGAATACGTTCTCACTCTCTGACCTGCGTAATATTTCATAAATAAACGTCTGGCCGGAGGCGGCACTGCTCGACCCCTCTTTTGCGGTATACTATGTATTTTATAGCAGTTGCCAGTGAAACATTAGGGTCGCAAGATCAGCATCCTATTTCTTTGTGATTCAGCAAATAATATTAGAGCAATTTCCAAACGAGCATGGCTTTCTGTGCAGTGGAGCTTTATTGGACTCCGCTTGCGAAAATGGATTTTCCCTAATCGTTTGTAAAAGCGATACTGGCTTCGTGATGTTTGCTTAACCAATTGGTGGATAAGACAATTGTCTAAATTTCTTTAGCTTAAAACAAACGCTACAGACTTGAAACAAAACTAGGGCTCAGTAGATCCCTCTTTTAATGCTAGTGAAATCTTCTTTTTGAAAACGAGCATCTCCATATCGATTAATGTGATGAACTATCCGAGAAGATTCCGAACCTTAATTCGTCCAATGTTTGGGAACATAGAACAGCACATGGGAGGAGAGTTGGCGCTGAGGGACCCTAATACCAACATAGGACAAGATATCCTGGGAATCAATCCTATTGTTAATCCCGCTCGTTCCATTGACTTTCTTATCTCAACTAAAAACCTTAATTAATTGTAATACATTAATTAGTAAAGCGGACCAAGAAATTAGTGAATTTAATTATTTAAAATGAAGTATACTTCACTAAAGTTCTCCGTGGCCA